AATAAATATCTTATGTTTTTGAAACAATTATTCCTTCAGAAAGTGAAATAATTTGTCTATACCGTCTATGTCTGTATCAAGCCAAGATTATCACTAATAGACAGGGATACTGGGAAGTCATTTTTGCCGTTATTTTTTGTAATAAACAATTTGGTAATGACACTGCAACTTTTTATGTTGACGATAACGATAATCAACTAAAAGCTGATTAAGGTTGGGAAAATTACTTTTAAACTATAACTTGTTACCATTAAGTTAGATATTATTTATTGAAAAAAATAACTCGTTACTTAATGTGTCAATTCGTTACTTTTATTATAAAAATAACGAATCGATGTGTCACATCATGCAAATACTCACAAAATTAACTTAAGCGAAATGAACAAAAAAAAAACAACAAAATACATACATTGCATGTAGATTTAAAAAAGATCAATTTTCTATAGATTTATATCAAGCAATGGTTGCCATTAATATGGCTTGGCGAAATCTTGACAATAAACATTGGAGAGATTTTTCTTCAGGAATATGCAAATCAGCACACTCCGGATGAATCAACCTTTCGCAAGTATAAGATTGTTACAATGTGACCATTTATAACATTTGAGCAGATATTATAGATAACTACATTTGGATATCGGTAGATGAAACCACGGATGCTACCGGACGCAACATAATTTTGTAACATGTAAAACAGGTGTACAACAAGCGAGTAAAACGTATCACAAAACGATTTCTTTTTATTGCGCTTCTTATTTTGCAATATTTTATAAATTAGGATAATTAACAGCGATTAAGGTCTCAGCGAAGTTCAATTGCACGGTTTATAAGTCACGTAGTCGATACGAGCATACTCGCGTACTTAACTATTTAATTACAATACAAATTATTGGCGATTATTTAATCAGGGGATAAATCGCGCACAACATGCTGAGTGATTCTCTCGATGGCGATGCCATCGCAATAATTTGAAGATACTTTCTCACTCTCGGCGGCCGCGGCGGTCGAAATGCATACCGGGCGTCATAATAGACCGTGAATCGGAAGTTCGTTACGACCGAGACGTGTAAGAGGATTTCACTATCATTATGAGTACCGAGACGCAATGGCGTTTACTCATTACTCGCGAGTTCTCACGCGCGCATCTCGCGTCCCGTAGATTTCCAGACTCGTTCGTTCGTACGAGCAACGAGTTTCAGCTGACGATTAGCATACTTAATTAAGCGCATCAGCCCCATCGTTTTGCGCGTTATATGTGCCCGGCCGAACACCCGAGGCGACCTATACAGGGCCCTTTATGCACTCTCCCGGCAGTAGCGTAACCATCGTTCGGAACTCCGACTGTGATATCATAAGAAACCCGTCACATATTTTCCAGTTGCGCCGCGTGCATTCCACCATAATGTCGTAGAAGAAATTGAGATAGTCTCGACGTTAGTTTATCTCATAGTTACAAACAGTTCTCATATTTGATGATAGCGCAGATGATGCAACAATTGCTTTACACTTCTGGAATTAGATTAATTTTCGTAAAGTGATTGATTAGGAATTTTTTATCAAGTAGAATGGCATGAAAGGAATAAATTTTGCGTAACGTTTCCCTATATCGGCGTGCTCTCTTTCGGTACATAAAATTCAAAGCAATAAAATTATACTACTTCGAATTGCTATTAACGAGACGAGATTCTTCATTAATTACGAATTACGTTCATTCGCAATGTATATTTTCCAATTTGTTCGACTATAACCAAGTAATCACCCATATAATTACAGTACATATCTATAATTCTAGCAATGTTGCAGCAACACTGCAAACGTTATTATAAACTTTTATGCTGTATGGATACAAGTATCTTTTCCTTGATGTATTCAAATAAAAATTTAAAAGTACCAATGGAGTTACGCCACTGAATCACGCAATAGGGCCATACAGCGAACGTAAATCGAGGAGTCGAGAGGAAGAGGAATGAGATCGGTACCGTGAGTCGACTCGCGCACGAGAATGCGAGCGTGCGAGAGATTAAAACGAAAAATTCCTCCCCGCCCACACCCCTTTTTTTCTCCCTGAAAGAGCATCCCATTTGGCTGTGGATGCTAGGCTTCTTGTGACGGGTTCAATAGGTACCTCTCTATCGATTCACACCCTTCGCTGTGCGGGAAAGGAGATGTCTAGTCAATACACACGTGTACGAATTTCGGTAACATCATCATTAATTTACTTGTTGCTTCTCGTTTACACGAAGAAACGATGTGTTTATAGCAAACCATATTAACAATATTTTATTTTTTATGTATATAATTATACTTAGAGAAAAAAGTCATATCAACAAATAGAAATTTGAGGACAAACAGCGCCTTAACTATATATTATAATAAGTTAACAATAAATAATTAGTTATATAAACTAAGAAAATGTAATATTAACCATTTACTACAAATAATTAATATTATAATACTTTCTTAGTTAATTTAATTTATTTATTGCTCTTATTAAAACTTTACAGTACATAGCTGTGGCGCTTTTTGTCCTTAAATTTCTATACGTACTGCTAACTCGTCCAAGAAAAGAGTTACTGAATTTTTATACAGAACTAAAAACTGTTGAGATGTATCTCATTTACTTTCTTTTTCGAACTCAATACATCTTTTATTATTGTATAATATGATGAGTGATTTTTTTCTCAGGAGAAATCGAACTCCGCTGCATTCTTCTGGTAACAGTGTCGCATACTGTTCGTGGGTAAGCGACTTTAATGAAAAATTCTTAAGATCAATCATGATTAAATAATGATTATAGGTACATACAAAGTGTCCCATTTTAATCTTTGCACCAAAATATCTCAAAATATACAAAAGATACAAAAAAATGTTTCAAACAAAAATTGTAAGATTCGAAGGAGGTATCATTGATTTGATACGATGGCGCCACAAGATCAGATCAAGGTCACTTTGAATTTTTTAAATAAGGCCCCTTATTTTTCATTATAATTTTCTCTTAGTTTATCTCAAGCTTTTCAAAATATTCTAATAAAATTGTTTCTCATTAAAAATTTTTCGAGATATAAGGCTCTCTCTTGAAAGTATTACCGGCATTAAACATTACTCAAGCTGTCCGACTGACGACTAATACCTCTTAAATATTATTCAGGATTATGACCCGGATAATATTTGTCAAAATCAAGGCCATTGGAGAATGTTCTTCTTATTTTAATTTTTATTATGATCCTGAACAACATTCGAAAGATTTTAGCCGTTGGTTAGATACCTTAGGTAATGCTAACGATGATGGTACTGTAACTTTCAAATCTTATAACTAGACTGCGGATATTATATATAAAATATTCAGTTAAGTATTTTGCATAAATATCCGCAGTCTACTTATAACTAAAAAAATTCTTAATTAAAAACAATTTTATTGAAGTATTTAAAAAAACTCTTGAGGTAAGCTACGAAAATATGTAATGAAAAAAGGGGGATTCCATTTAAAAAATTCAAAGGGACCTTGATTTGATCTTAATAATGCCAAACAAAATCAAATTAATGGTACCTTCTTATGTCCCCTTCTAAACCATACGACTTTTTGTTTGACTTTTTGTTATAATTACGATTGCATTACCATATAAAAGTGTTTATTTTATTCATTATTTATATTTAATATTTTACTATATTAATATTTGAAATTATCATAATTTATAGTACAACTTTTCTATGTTTCAGAAAATTATATACATAAGGATATTAATTTATTTATTACTAACATTAGAGTAGTAACCATAAAAATGGAGCTTTCAACCATAATTATTTTACTATGCAATTATAATTGTAGGTACCAAACACTTTTTTTTACAATTTAGTGGTCCATATCTGTTTAGTAAAATATCAGTAGTAAAATTAGTTTAGTAAAATATCAATTATAAGGTGTACGCTGTATTCTACGTCGTGTAGAAACATAAATCTGCAATTGATGCAAATTTGATTATAAGTGAGTGCCTGTCATGCATGTGAAGTTGTTATTTTAATATTTTATGGCTTTAACTACTTTCGCAATCAATCAGATTCTAATATTCTGCATGAATTGTAATGTTATATACATCACTTAAGTATTTGTGAGGTCATTAACGACGATTTTACTTTCGATTGTCCGTTCCTGTAGAGTAACGAATGGATTCATCTGGTAGTGAATCTGGTTTTGTTAGCTTCTTAATTACCACATATGAAGCGAATGGATATCGAATTGTCATGGTAACGAGTACAAGAAGTGATGAGACAGTGTAAATAATTGTACGGTTTCTTTTTTCAAAAATCGCAATAAAAATGGAGATTAATACAAGAGAGAAAAAGGACCCGTTATAAAGAAATATCAATAAATTGCTCTTTTTTTTACTATTTTATTTATTCTTAAATAAAAAAAAGTTCAGCATATCATAACTCACTAGATCTGATTAGAATTATCCAGAAAAAAAAAACATTAAAAATATTACATTACAAAAAAAATTATGCACAGGAGATGTGCATAATTTTTTCTGTAATGTCATCTAGACAAGATGACCATTATCTCAGACCATTATCTTAGAAATGGTAACAAATATAGCAAAACGCCATAAAACTATTTCGAATCCTCTCGACAAGATTTGCGAAAAAAATTCTACGCATCGAAGCTGTATCTATTACCGTTATTAAGAAAACAATGCTCCCAATGTCTAGACTGTAATTCTTTTTGTCAAAGAATGTATATTATTTCAATGAAAGAAAACATATATATATATATATATATATATATACCGTGACATCACCTCATTCAAATTGGCTTAAGAATTAATTTATCATGATCGTGTCATCCTTGCTATTTCTTTAATCCCAAGAAGAGAATCTTTAATCCCAAGTAAATAATGAGCGCGCACTTATATAGAATAACACGTCGAATGACACTCAGCATCATTTTCAAATATAATTCCGATCATACGGCATTGTCTTAGTATATCTCCAAAAGTGATACTGACCTTGAAGACAGCCCAACAGGACAATCCCGAGGATGAGTGAAAGCTGACGACGCATTCTTCCGATACTATCACGACGTTGCCAATCTGACTTCACAAAACGGTATGTTCGCACGGGCGACGAATTCCTTCTGGAATCGCTCTGGCGATTATCCTATTGCTGAGACCCTCGTCACTGCGGTCTTGCGGGAGTAGAGCGGTGATGAAAGAAGAAGAAGAAGAAGAAGAAGAAGAAGAAGAAGGAGGAGAAGGAGAAGAAGAAGAAGAAGAAAACCGAGAGAAGGCTCGAGAAAGAGCGTGCCGAAAGATTCCGCGAGGCCAGGAGAGGAGGAAGTGTCCTCTTCGACCTCTATCGTCCTTCGAGATCCACGAACGACTGAAGCGTACGGAGCGACGTCAGCCCGACTATACCCTCCCCTTCCTACTTTCACGTGGCGTGCTCCCGTTTCCAGTGGAGGCGCGGAATAAAGAGCCTCTCCACGGACCATTTACTATTACCATCATCGTCGACAGCAGCCGTCAAAAAGAGAGGACGGTTACCGCCCGACTGCCCCCTGCCCCGCGCCGGAAGGTGGGGAAGAGACTACCCCACCGACCCCTCTTCTCTTCTCAGTCCCCGTCTTCTTTCTCGTCACTTCTGGACGCACCGCGTCACCGCGAAACGCATTGCCGGGGAACACCGACTCAGCGTTTCTAGGCCAACTCTTCCTCCTCCATTGTAGCTAGGACATCCTTCTTCTGCTCTTCTTGTCGTTCTTCTTCGGCCACTTTGTCTTACTTGATCAATTTTTTCAGTCGTCAGTGAATTAGAGACCAAGAATACTTTGCTCGCGGTCCTAACGCAAATCGCAGATAATAACGGGGATTCGGAAAAGGAGATATAAGAACGAGAGTTAGAACAGAATTCTCCTCGCGAGATAGATATCCCAAGCGGAACAACAGGCCACAGGATAACATCCAAACGACGGTCAAATAAATCGTGATCGAAAAATGACTTTTAATAATCATTTTGAAGCCATTTTAATGTCATCAAGTTTTGTTCTGCTTGAAAACTCCAGGCCTAGGTAGAACACAGAAATCATAATATCATGAAGATGTTATTATGACTTCGTTTGGCACTTATAAGTTTACTTATGAGCAACAAATGAAGTCATGATGATATCCTATTAGTTATCATTTGTGTTCGATTTGGAAGTCTTATATCCGGTTTTGTAATTTAAAAAATCGGAGAATTTATATTCCAATTGTCTGTATTTGTGTATGTACAGAATGTACGTACACAGAACACAGAACGAAACCCGCAATTAATATTTTGTGTGCCATAAAAGGGCAACTTTGAATTGAACTTGAAAATTAGGAATAATTCCAGGGTTAGCGATTTGATAGGGAATTTAGTTTTCTTTTATTAACAATAACATTTTCGAAATTTTTTTCGACTTTTAGCTAGCTTTTCGATTTTGACTCACTATGGGATGGCGCGCTCGAACGTCGCACGCTTATCACACGGATAAGGCTGATATGAAATCTCGCGAGTGCGTTCTCTAGAAAAGCGCCGATAACACAACAGCGTCGATCGAACAAGATGTGAAAATCGAATGAACGTGAAGCATCGGCTTGGAGCGTTGATTAATTGAAAGTACATTTTCATGATTCACGAAGAGGAAGGAGAAAAGCTGCTCCATTCCTCCGACTGATGCAAGGGCCGCGCGCACACGATTAGCGGTTACACTTTCTAATTGAACTATCGCAAGAAATGTCGAAGGATGTTCTTGTGCTAACGATAGCGACATTAGTCTCCTTTCCTACTTACATTCTGAGCGCTAGTTTCACGCGCGTAACGAATCCGCCGCGAATCTGACACTGCCGCGTGACTAACTTGTATTTCTGTCATTTTGCTCTCTCTCTCTCTCTCTCTCTCTCTCTCTCTCTCTCTCTCTCTCTCTTTCTTGGGAGAAATTCCGAAAGAAATTAAAACAAAGTAACTAGATTTTACGTTCTTCGTGCTGGAATAACTAACGTAGAAATTTAATAACGTGGTATTAACCTTTTAAGATTTAAAGGAAATGACATTAATAGAGACATTGTAAAAACATTATCAAGACTTTGCTCAGCATATCGTAAATAATTCATTCTATTTTAATATGATGAATAGTTATTAATAATAAACTTTATACTTTTAGAATTTCTTTTAGAACGTTTTTAATGTCGAATTTTCAGTAAAGAAACATTTAATACTTTATTACTATTAAAATCTGTTTTTGTTAAAGTCTTCATACGTGTTGAATTTTTAACATATTTAAACATTAATTTTATGTAATGTGATTATGTTATTTAAACATTTTGTGTTAAATTGATATTTAACATTTCTTAGTGTTAAAGTTAACAATTTATAAAAATGAACAATTAATATTAAAATAATGTAGATTTAAACCGTAAATTCTAAAATGAATGAATAAAAGATGAATAATGTATATACGTGTTCATTTAACATGTTATAAATGCAATTTTACTAAAAAAAATATACTCAATTTGTTTTCAAATTGTATCCATATTCAAAGTGTTATTTTTTTGCATAATTTTAAATTTTTACACAATGTTTGTATTACATTCTAATACATGTTTATCTAGTGTTAAATTAACACAAAAATTTTGGTAGATCGTTTCGGATATGTAAAATATGTTAAATTTAATACAAATCTTCCAACTGTGTAAAATCGATGAACAGCAACATGTTTCTAGATTCGACAAAATCGCTTACATTTCTCCCGTTAAAGACTCTCGTCTAATGCAAACGAAGGAGGGCTAAAAACGCGCGCGATCGCGTCTGCCAATCGTTCAGCACGAAAGTATGGCAGTAGCCCGCAGGAATATACTTCGCACGCAGATACACTGCAACCGAATCGCCCCGGCGTATCACAAAACCCGCGGACGATCGTTCATCAACATCAACTGTCAGCGGTCGTGCTAGTGAACCGCAAATTCCTTGCGCATACACATGCGTCTGCGTTTTCCAATCTTTACTATTAACCCACTTATGCCTTTAATGTCAATACTCGGTCTAAAGATAGCCGGCAGCTGTACGACCGATTTTCCGCGCTTTGTCCGCTCCTGCACTTGTAAGATTGAGAACACAGGACTTATGGACGGTGAATATCTCGTTCGCGATCTCTCGATGCGGGCTCAGCCGATCGAATCGATCTGACGTTGAACGATCCAAGATGACAACGGGAATCGGAATCACATGCGGAGTGGCTCGTTTCAATTACAAATCTGTACTTTTGTATTCTCCGAGCTCGGCAATGGTACTTGATCGTTCGATTTATTCGAGTTGCATCTCCTACAGAGTTTATGGTGGCAAAAAGGCGAAGAGGTAATCACTTAATGTAATCGTGGGACAGAGTCCCCGAAATCATTATAAAATTCATATAAAATCCTGATGTATAATCCGAAAATTACATCAGGATTTTATACGAATTTTATAATGATTTCGGCTGATGTGCAACTACGAGAAATAATTGTGTGATATTAGATAAAATCAATTATTTTATCAAATGATTTCATATATAGTGAAGAAAATTATTTATCATCAGATGAAATCGTATGAAATCAAATAAAATCATGTAATCTGTGGGACAATATTTTAACTAGTGGTTACCGCCTCACAAAAAGGTCCTACATGAGGTCTGTTTTCTGTGGCTGAACCGGTACACTTTTGGAACTTAAAGTGAGAAAGGTATATATTTGATATTTGTTAAAAGCAAGAGAATTCTAGTACAGTCTAGTGCAAGAACAGAAAACAGACTAATCTTGTACTCGCAAGCAATGATAACGAATTGCGTCTTATATGATTCACGTTGAAGTCGATGGATTTTTGCTAAACGAGGCTACAAGACAGTTCGAAAAAAGTTGATAAACGTCTAAGCTAAGCGACTCATCCGAAGGACGATATATGAGATAACGTATAATAGCCGGCGCGAACCGGCAATATCTTTTGACCGGATTGAATTTGAATAGATTCATTATCTTCCATAATAAACGACTCAACCGCCGCTGTCTTTCTTATAGCGAGAAGCCGCCTTACATGGCTAGCTAGCTGCGTATTTTCTCTCGTCTCAGCGTCTGTTGCTTTTATTCACAACCTAATTTTGCGATCAATTGCGATCGACCCTCTTCCGCCGTGGTTTTCATGTCTACTGTGAAAAAGCAATATGAGGAGCCAGATTTTTTCACAGCATGGTAATAGTAAAATTCTAAAAATAACGTTATTGTACTGTAATACTGCAGTATTACATTGTATTACTAAATAAGCCTTTCAGAAATCAAACTGATCAACTGTATGCTAAAGTCAACACTAACTGTCAAGCTGATTTTGAGATTAAGTTTAATATATGTAGTATATTATTTTAATAATGTGTTGTTTTTTAATATCTTAATATGTTTTATATTGTTTCTTTAAGAGGGGATTCTTGAAACCTCTCTTAACAAAAACAAGGTATTTTTTAAGGATTTTTTTTAACAAAACTATTTAAAGGTTTTGAATTTTTTATACATAAAAGATATACATATGTTTCATAAATGTCTTTGAATTTTTGCGTCCATATTAGGCTCCCGCTATTATAATTCAATCAATGATGGTCAACAGCAACATACAGTTTGTTTTTTATTGCCGAATTATCTGGACTGATGTAAAAAGTATACAGTGAAGCGTTCTTTATTGCAAAACTAGTGTCAACAACAGTGTTCTTTATTACAGTATAGCAAAACTCAATGTAAAAGTTCACTGAGCTGGCTGTACTAAGTCTAGAGTCAGTGCAAGCAGTGCAGGGCACGCAGAAATGGCTGTGTTCAACAAAACACAACTTTTACGTATATACGATGGGTGCCTTTTAACAAGAGGCACACATAACGCGGCGTGACACGGTGTATCATTATAGCCTTGTTGTTCGCCAATATTAAACAAAGATGAGATAATAACTGTGTTGTACTGAATCGCTTGTAATTGGAAGGCTCCCGATATTAATAACATTATGTCTAAATGTAATAATTTATGTCATTTGTACTTTTTACCAT